GACCCCAGCAGTGATTCTTGTGGCATTCCAACAATCATAGTCTGCCAATTTGAAAATGACACAGGCAAGTGGGACTAGTTTAGTCTGGGAAACTTGATCAGCATAGATTAGTTGGACCAAAGAGTCTGCTTCTGTGCTGTATGACTCCATGACTCTATGACCCACTTTTTAACCTCGCCTAATTTCTTGCTGATGTCTTGCTGTTGGCCACAAATGTCTTGTCTATGCCTCTGACTAGAGAGACCCTATCACAATCAACCGCTTGGAACTTGACATGCCCTTCATTACAGTAGAGCCAGCCTCGGTATCAGAAACCTGGCTGTCAGTGTTAGATTCCCCTGAGAATCCATGACCCCAGACACTTTCAAAAACAGCATATTTGTTTGAGATTGCTATAGCCACAGGATACTCCTGTATGATCTGCCTACCTCTCCCAACCTCCCTAGATATAACTCATCAAATGAAATTACCATCCATCCCAAGACTTGGTTCCTGTAAATTCCCGAACGCCTCTAACTGTTGTTCCGAACAATCCGTGTGATACGATATGATTAGCAACCAAACATACTTGCTGCAATCTCTCTCCATCTCTCTCTCTCTCTCTCTCTCTCTCTCTCTGGCCCGTCAGCCCCTCCCTCTCGGCCTGTTACCAACTGGGCCCCTGCCCTGTGCCTGTCAGACCCTCCCTCCTTCCCCTCTGCTTGTCAGCCCCTCCCTCCTGCCTATTATTCATTAACTGTTCCAACATAGTAACATGCACCTGGCTAAAAAAGGAAAATTCAGATTCAGATACAGATGCAGTTCTCCAATCCAGGAGGGAAAAACATCAAGACAATATTTCAGAGACGGTAGCAATCAGGAGACATTCAATGAAGCTTCCAGCTCTGCTCTGATGCCACTGAAAAACCAAAACCTAGAAATCATCATATGTGACTGCTAGCCACACCCATTCAGGCTGCACTGAAAAAAGACCCAAGGGCTCCCAAGCTGTTTAACAAGTGGTCTTCACTAGCCAACATTGTACCTCACCCTGACAGCCCCAACTTCAAAAAAAAGGACAGAAAAACCTCTTAAAGTGAAATAACAAGGTGTAGAGCTGGATGAACACAGCAGGCCAAGCAGCATCGGTCCAGACCCGAAACGTCAGCTTTCCTGGTCCTCTGATGCTGCTTGGCCTGCATTGTTCATCCAGCTCTACACCTTGTTATCTCAGATTCTCCAGCATCGGCAGTTCCTACCATCTCTTAAAGTGACAGCATTGTCATATTCTGTCTTTGGGGCGGCGGGGCGGCACGGCGGCTCAGTGGTTAGCACTGTTCCCTCACAGTGCTAGGGACCCGGGTTCAGTTCCAGCCTTGAGCAACTGTGTGTGTGTGGTGTTTGCACATTCTCCCCGTGTCCCCCCACAGTCCAAAGATGTGCTGGTTAACTGAGTTGCGAGGAAGAGGAAGGGTCACCAGACTCAAAACATTAATTTTGATTTCTCTTGTCAGATGCTGCCAGACCTGCTGAGCTTTTCGAGCAACTTCTGATTTTGTATCTGGTTCACTAGATTGGTCATGCTAAATTGCCCATACTGTCTGGGGATGTGTAGGTTAGTTGGATTTACCATGGAAAATTCAGGGTTACAGGGATAGGGTGGGGGCGGGGTGAGTCTGGATCAGTGTGGACTTATTGGGCTGAATGGCCTATTTTCACACTGTAGGGATTCTATGGATCTCCTTTTCCCTCTTTCTTTTTCCCCCTCCCTTGTGCGCTCACTCTGTCTGTCTCACTCTCTCCCTGGCTGTTTTGCTCGCTCACTGTCTACTACTTCGATTTGAGTTTGTTGTAAGGGAAAACAACAGCATCATTTGACAATGTAATTCAGGTAATAAGTTCACCCATTTTGTGGAAAGAGCATATTTTTCTAATGGTTTTTGCGTAGCTGGAGAATGGTGATTGGCTCAGGTTCAGCACTTGAATCGTAGTTCTAAAAGTTATTGCAAGAGGAATTGAAAACAGAAATAGGGTGATTATGCTACAGTATGCAGGACACTGGTGTGACTATACCTGGCATACTGCGCACAGTATTGGTGCCTTTATTTAAGGAAGGATGGAAATAAATTGGAATTAGTTCAGAGAATGTTTACTAAACCAATATTAATGGATGGTTTGACTTAGGAGGTAAGTTTAAACTGATTTGACTTGTATATACTGGAGTTTAGAGCAGTAAGAAGTCACTTGATTGAAATGTATAAACTGCTGAAGCATCATGACTGGGTGGATGTAGAGATGATGTTTCCACTAGTGGGAGAATCTAAAATGAAGTGTCACTTTAAAAATAAGGCTTCACTTATTTAAGGTAGATGAGGTAAAATCTTCTGAGTGTTGAGAGTCTTTAAGTTGTTTCCTCAAAAAGTGGTGAATGCAGACTCTTTGAGTATTTTTAAGGCGGATGTGGATAGATTCTTGCTAAGAAAGTGGGTGAAAGGCTACCAGGTGTAGTTGGGAATATGAAGTTGAGGTTACGATAAGATTAACCATGGTTGTATGGCAGAGCAGGCTCAAGAGGCTGAGTGGTGGCCTCCTCGTTCATATAGGTGATTCATACTTTTTAGTGCTGATTGTAATAACTGGAGTCCAGGTGTTAGAGAACATTTTGTTAACACAGTTATGTTCCATCCTGTTTTCAGCAATTGTTTCGAATGAGCAGGAGCCCTGGTTTTCTCTAACCGTGTAGCCCTGAGCTCACAAGAAGGGCTGTTCCTGCTACCCAGTTAATTCTGCATAGATCCCTGGGGATCATTCAGTTCTGTATTCACCATCTTAGTTTGTACTGACATTTTGGAAGAAGTGGTTAGAGCACAAAATTCATGCACTAAATGCTGGTCCAGTCAGCAACAGCCATATCCCATGAATGAGCAATAAGACGTGCCCTGGATAGGCTGGCCAACATGCCACATGCCATGGGCAGATGGAGTCAAATTAAAGTTGGCAAGGTTGCTGTGTGTGAGGAAAATGATTCTTCTCACTGTCCCTGACTGCTTTTAAACTACGCTTGTAATGCCATCGCAGTCACTTGAAGGAATCCGGTTTTATCATGTAGATTGTTTGAATTCCCAGGTTTTTCTTCATTCTTAGTCATGGGGACAAGGGTTGTCTTTCATTCTCAGCAGGTCTGACAGTATCTGTGGAGAGAACACAGTTAACATTTTGAGTCCAGTGACCCTCCTTCAAAGGGTCTGAAGAAGGATCACTGGACTAAAAACATTAGCCAAGTTTCTCCAATTTCTGTTTTTGTGTGTTTCATTCTCTCTCTCACTTCTCTAAAATGCATAAGAGATGTGATGATTTGTGAAAAACCTTTAAAAGTTGGGATTCCAGAAACAGCCCTGTTTGCAGAGAAGAGCCATCTAGAAGTAAAAGCAATGCAGTTATTATTTTTTCCCTGTGCTGTTGGGTGATTTGTCCGCAGATGTGTATTAGCTTTGACATTGTACCTAATCTGTAGTGTGTTTTGCTTGGGTGGTTTCAGGATGATTTATTTAGAAAAGGCAGAATTTCCCTTTTAAATTTGAAGATTCTTCTTGTCATCACCATTTCTCGATTTCTCTTGTATTGCATGTTGTTCTGTTTGTATAAGGATACTTCTGCATTATCTCTTAGTCTCTGTGTTAAAGTGCTGAAGGGTAAGAGAATATAAAAAGTCTGGTTCATTGGCTGCAACTTAACTCCTTTTCTTGGGTTGGGAAGGACGGTACTGACTGCTGCAGATGTCATTAGTCAAACAGCACGGATACAGACACTTCGGTCCAACTCGTCCATGGGATTAAGTTCTCAAACTAAACTAGTTTCACATGCCTGAGTTTGGCCTGTATCCCTCTAAAACTTTCCTATTCATGTACCTATCCAAATGTCTTTCAAATATTATGATTACCTATTTGTACCACTTCCTCGGACAGTTCATTCCACATACGAACCAATGTTCCTGAAAAAGATACCCCTCTGGTCCCTTTTAAATCCAATTCCTCTCATCTTAAAAATATACCTCCTAGTTTTGAACACCCCCTCCCTAGGGAAAAGACCTTTGCTATTCACCTTATCTATGTCCCTCATGATTGTATAAACCTCTATAGGGTCACCCCTCAACCTCCTATGCTCCAGTGGAAAAATGTCCTGGTCTATCCATCTTCTCCTCTATAATTCAAACCCTCTATCATTCCAGTAAATCTTTACTGAACCCTCTCCAGTTTAGTAATATCCTTGCTGTAGCAGGGTGACCAGAACTGTACACAGTACTCCAAAAGTGGCCTCACCAATGTCCTGGAAAACCTCGACATGGCATCCCAACTCCTTATACTCAACGGTCTGAGCAGTGAAGGCAAGCAGGCTAAGCACCTTCTTAATCACCCTGTCTACCTTTCAAAGAGCAATGTACCTGAAGCCTTAAGTGTCTGTGTTCAACAACACTACCCAGAGCCTTACTGTTAATTGTATAAGTCCTGCTCTTGTTCATTTTACTAAATTCAATACCTCACATTTACCAAATTAAACTCCACCTGCCCCTTCTCAGCCCATCTGGCCCAATTGATCAAGATCCGCTTGTAGTGTTGGATTACCTTCTTCACTGTTGACTATACTACCAATTTTGGCATCATCCGGAAACTTACTAACCATGTCTCCTAAATTCTCAATGAAATTGTTTATATAAATGACAGTGGACCCAGCACCAATCTTTGCAGAACCTCGCTGGTCACAGGCCTCCAGTCTGAAAAACCACCCTGCACCACCACCCTCTATCATCTACCATCCAGCCAATTTTGTATCCAATTGACCAGCTCTCCCTGAATTCCATGTGATCTAACTTTACTAATTGGTCTACCATGCAGAACTTGAATACTTGAATACTACACCTTATTCTGGGAACTGATGGGAAGATTGCGAGTGTCAATCTGTCCACTCATTATTTTACTAATTTTAATAATGACCAGTAAAGATGACACCTCTCTCTTCCTCAGAGTGATGGATTTCTAAAGGACAATAACAATGCTGCGCAGCGATTGCTGGATGGCATGAATTTGATGGCACAGTCGGTTTCGGAATTTGGTGCAAAACCAACCAAAGCAGTGACCGCTTGGCTGACAGACCAGATTGCACCAGCCTACTGGAGACCAAACTCTCAGATTATTGTAAGTGCCAAGTCATCTCTGTCTGAGGTTTCATACTGTCGCTCTGTCCTTCACTTTTGTAACACAACATTCCCGATATGTGGAAAGGTGATTGTAATTTCTCTCTACCCTTTCTTTCTGAACTCAGAATCAGTTATGGCACAGAAGGAGGCCATTCAGCTCACCAGTCTCTGCTGGCTCCCTGTGAAGTAATTCACTAAGTTCTATCCTTCTGCTGTATCCCTGTGGGCCTGCAAGTTTATATCCTCCACGTGACTATTCATCTTCCTTGGAAATCATTGAGTATGTCAGCTTCTAGCCACTGGTTCTGTGTTCTTTTATTTAAAAAAAAAAGTTCTTCCTCCCATGACCCCTGCATCTCTTAGCCAAATCATAAAATCTGTGTCCTCTGTGTCCCATAAAATCTTGCACCATCAACTAATGGATTTCTTTCTGTGCCCTGTCTAAAGTTATAACTTTGTAACCTCTATTAAATCCCCTTTAATTCTATTGCTTCAAGGAGAACAAGCCCAACTTCACTGGCAAGACCTTGTAATTAGAATCCCCTGTCCCTGGAGCCATTCTTTGTGGTGAGCAGAACTATATGAAGAACTCCAGTTTTGGTCCAACCACAGGTTTATTCGGGTTTATCATATCTTGGCTTTTGTACCCAGTGCCCCTATTTCTGAAGCTCCAGATCCTTTTGCATGCTAACCATTTTCTCAAGAAGTCCTGCTTGCTTCAGTGTTTGATGTACGTTAATTCCCAGGTTCCTCTGTTCCTGTACATTCTTTAGAACTGTCATTGTCTGTGAAGCCTATTTGCCAAAGTGCATTACCTCATAGTCTCTGTGTTAAATTCTATCTCCCTCTTGTCTGTCTACTCTGCTGCAATCGACTAATATCATCCTCACGATTTGTCATTCCAAGCTGAGTATCATTGGTAAATTTTTAAATATATTGACATTTCTTCTGTACATCAACAAATGCTGCTGCACAACATTTCGAACTGTGCCAGTAATAGATTGAAGCAACTTTCAACGTTATAAACTAGTTTCAGAAAGTTTATGGTACAAGAATATTTAATGTAATTTGAATTAGTGGTTGGGGACCATGTGGTTTAGAATCCTGCTCAGTAACAAACGACCACTTCCTTGTGTGGATGTTGAGTTGTAGCTGCGATGGACTGATGAATACTCTGGTCAGTGGGGTACTTACATATGAAAAGACAGTTTGCAAATGATCAGCTGGTCTTTTGAGACTGTCCCATTCAGCCATGTTGCAGCTGAATAACATGATAACCAATACCCTCCCCACAACATTGGAGGACAATGGAATTTACTACCAGGCAAAAAATAGATGTGGTCAGACACTAGATTCCAGAGATGACGATGAATTCAAGATGTGTGTTATCCAAAATGCCATCTATTGTTTGTATCTAGCATTGTATTTCCCGCCTTTGGTCTATGCTAGTCCCTTCTAAATATTTACAGTAAATCTGTATCCACTGCAGGACCAGCAATATGTCCTGATGTTCACTCATCCTGTGCTATGTGAACTCTACTTCATGGCTTTAAAGGAATTTCTAATATTTAATCCAGCATCTTGTGCGTTTTCCTCTGTGTAAATTAGCTGGAAAAGCCCTGAGACAGGCTTGGTTTATTCAGAGTATTGAAAATATTAATGTTTGTCATCTGGAGCAGTTTTTTCATTTCTTGAACAACACGGTGTGTAGCTGGAGGAACACAGCAGGCCGGGCAGCAAAGTTGATGTTTCGGGTCGGGACCCTTCTTCCGACCCGAAACGTCAACTTTCCTGCTCCTCTGATGCTGCCTGGCCTGCTGTGTTCCTCCAGCTCCACAATATGTTGTCTCTGACTCCAGTATCTGCAGTTCTTGCTACCTCCTCCTTCATTTCTAATGCCATTCCTGCTTGGGGTCTTTCAGTCCTGCTGACCGAAGTCAGGTAAAATGCATTTTGTGTAGAACAAGAGTAAGGTGTGAGGCTGGATTAATATTATGTGTATTAAACATGTCATTTGCGACATTATATCTGATGGTAGACTAGACTTTATTTTTCAGGCGGCTGGAGCATCTGTTTTATAGTACTTATTCTTGTCTATTCAGTAAATATTTTATCTATTTCATGTGCTAAATATGACAAACACACCTCCACATTCTTCAGTGTTATTTATAAGGAAGGACGTGTCAGTCTGCTGAGACTGCCAGAAAGCTGAAATGTATATTCGGTGAATTACAAGATGAATGTAAGTCTGCGGGGAAAAAATTCATGAGTATTACATTTATTTAACAGACTTGTCATAAATGCAATAAACCTTTTGAAGATCAGGAAACAAAGCATCACTGCAGAGCTTGTGGCGAAGGATTTTGTGATGGTTGCTCGTCAAAATCTAAGCCCGTTCCAGAACGTGGTTGGGGTTCAGCTCCAGTCAGAGTTTGTGATGGATGCTATGAAGCTGCAGTAATCAGAACTGGTAATCTTATTTCCTGAACCATCTCCCATCTCCCACCTCCCTACAATGTCACTGGTACTGTCTTTTAACTCTATCTTGTCTTGTCCCATCCCATCCCTGTGTTTGGTAATACTCCTGTGAAGCACCATGGGACACTTCATTAAAGTTGCTAGATCAATGAAACTTCTTGTCCTTATTTAACAATCTTTTGCTGATTTCAGGCAATTATTTGCAACTGGTTGTTGTCAGGTTCAGTGAGATGGCCCAAGTGAGTATATAGTTGGGGGAATTTGGTGCAGAGGAGAAGAGGTAGTTTTTGCTTGCTTCTTTGAGTCATAGTTTGTAAGGATTTTTTTAACAGGATAAATTGAAACCCAGGATTCGTGGCCAACACCAATCAAAGTGACATCATAGGAAATTGGTTCATTGGTTGGTAAGAGCTGCTAATTTGACTACCTAATTTAGTTACTTTCCGATTAGAAGTAAACCGGAGAGAAACACTAAACGTTAAAGACCAGTAGGAAGTTTAAAAAGGCAAATTCAAATCTAATTAACTAGAAGCAAGGTCAGTTGATGTCTTGTGGAAGCTTGTGAACCCCATCGTGTTTCATAGAGACCACATCTATGGCGAGTGTTGGTTCCTTGAGAAACTCCGGCTCAGAGTTGCTGAACTGAACTGGCACATCTGCTGCATCTCAGGAGGCAGTGACACCCTGTAGGTTAAGTATTTCAAATTTGACAAGTGGTCAGGGATAGGAGTGTGATTGCAAGTGAGGCAGGTAGAGAGATTCTGATTTTAGCAGTGGAGAAGACTCAGCTCTTGACCTTATCCAACAGGAATGAGGTACTTACTTCCTGTGTGGATGAGGAAAATGACTGTAGGGAGGATGGCCAAACTGACCACTGCACTGTGGGACAGGAAGCTATTTGATTGCAAAAGCAAAAAGAAAAGCGGTAGTGATAGCGAATTCTGTAATAAGGTGTACTAATAGCATGAAAATGTCATGAAGAGGATCGTGAGTCCCACATGGTGTGTTGCATGCCTAGTGCCAAAGTAAGGGACATCTCAAACTGGCTTGAAAGGATATAGAGTGGCGAGAGAGGATCCAGTTGTTAAAGTCTATGGGGAATATCAAGAATTAGGAACAACATTAAAAAAACAGAACTTCAAAGGTTGAAATCTCTGGGTTATTAGTTGAGCAATGTGCAATTGGTAAAGAGGTAAGATGAGGGAAGTAAATGTGGTTAACAATGTATGGGAAAGAGCAGTTCTGTTTCATGGAGCAGTGGCATCATCATTGTAACAGGAAGGAACTGGACTGTTGGGTTGGGAAGGGTTCCACCTGAACCAACTTAGGACCGGGATCCTAGCGGACAGGCTAAATAAGGTGGTCACAAGGACTTCAGGGGTAAGTCAGTACGGTTTCAAAATCTAGTAATGACAGAGTAAAGAAACAGTCAGGTATCCTACTTCAGGTATGTCAGGTAATGAGAAACTATAAGAAGTGTATTGATTAAACTGGAAAAGGAAAATTATAAACAATGAATAAAACATCAGTTCTGAGGGACAGGTTAAAGTATATGGCCTAAATAAAAGTTTGATATACAAATGCACAAAATGTAAAGAATGAATTAAATGCACTGTAGGCACAAATTGAAGTTATGATACAGAAGCCATTACTGAGACATTACTACAGGATTTTGGGATTGGGAACTAAATATACCAAGCTATAAGTTTTACAGAATGGATAGGGGAAAAATGGCAGAGGACGTGAAATAGTCTCACTGATTAGAAACAAAATTACTGTAATGGTGAGGGAGGATATAATGAAGAGAGAGGATCAGAGAAGACCATATCGTTGGAACTAAGGAACGTAAAGGATCTAAAACTGCGATAGGTGTGGTGTACAGACTCTTTGGTAGCAGCTGTGATGTGTTAACTTCATAAATGAAGAAATTAGGCAAGTGTGTAGCAAAGCCGGAGCAGTATTAATGGGGATTTTAACTTTAACATTAATTGGGAGAGGCAGACAAGTACCTGTCAGAAAGGTGAATTTCTGGAGGGTGTCTGTGTTAGTTTCCTACAGCAGTATGTCCTGGATGCAACAGGGGACAAGCAATATTGGGATTCAGTAATGAGTAATGACTGGATTTAATTAGTAACTAATTGTGCATGAATATTGATCAAATAGTGATCCTAACACATTTGAGTTCAATATTGCATTTGAAAGCCAAAAGTATTAATCATCAACTAGAGTTTTAAAAGCCAACTTTAATGAGATGAGACGGAGACTGTCTGTAGTATACTGGGAAAATCTGCTTAACGGTAAAACAAATGAAGAATAGTGGAGGATGTTCAAAAAAAAAATTAACACTAAACAAAACCAGTTTGTACCCCTGAGAGGGAAAAGCTCCATTTCACAGGGGGAAAAAAAAACAGCCATGGACAACTGAAGAGATGAGAGACAGCATAAAACCAAGGGGCTGCACAGTAGTTAGCACTGCTGCCTCACAGCACCAGGGAGCCAGGTTCAATTCCAGCCTTGGGCAACTGTCTGTGTGGAGTTTGCACGTTCTCCCCATTCTCCCTCTGTGGGTTTCCTCCCACAGTCCAAAGATGTGCAGGTTAGGTGGATTGTCTATGCTAAATTGTCCATAGTGTCCAGGGTGGGAAATGAAGGGATAGGGATTGGGGTAGATCTGGGTAGAATGCTCTTAGGAGGGTTGGTGTGGACTCGATGGGCTGAATGGCCTGCTTCCACACTGGGGATTCCATGATTCTATAAAAGAAAGAGTTTACAAATATGCAAAAACAAAAACATCCTGATGAATTGGAAAGATACAAAGACCAACAAAATAACTTAAATGCTACTAAAAGGGATTATGAAAGGAAACTTGCCAAGGACACCAAAATCAATAAAAAATTTCATGGTTAATTAACGGCAGTGTGTGTGATCAGGAGCAATGTTGGCTCACTAAAGATTGAAAGTGGGGATATTTTTAGTGACTATGGTGAAATGGCAGATATGTTGAATAATTACTTTGCCTCAGTATTTGCAGTAGAAAAGAAGGATGGCTTGCCAGAAGTGTCTCAAGCCATAAGAAATAGGAACAAGAGTGGGCTGTTTTTGCCCTCGAGCCTACTCTGCCATTCAGTGTAATCATGGCTGATCCGACATTCTTCATACCAACTTTCCTCTTAACCCTTTGATTCCTTGACTGATCGAGAATCTATCCATCTCAGCCTTAAATATACACAGACTCTACCTCACAGGTCCATGTGGCAAGGAATTCCAAAGACTTTCAACCATCTGAGAGAAGAAATTCCTCCTCATCTCAGTCTTAAATTGGCACCCCTTTATGCTGAGACTGTGCTGTCTGGTCCTAGACTCTCCTGTGAGGAGAACATCCTCTCAGTATTTACCCTGTTAAGTCCTTTAAGAATCCTATATGTTTCAACGAGATCACCTCTCATTCTTCGAAATTCCAATGAGTAGAGTCCCAACCTGTTTACCCTTTGTCATATAACAATCCTTCCATACTGGGGACCATCATCGCAAATTCCCTCATCTCTTAACTACTAACAATGAAATGCTTCCTTCCCTTAAATAAGGGACTAAAACTACCCTCAGTACTTTAGCAGGTACAGTAAGACTTCCCTACTCTTATACTTGTACCCCTTTGAAATAAGGGCCAACATTCCATTAGCCTTCCTGATCAATTGCTACGGCTGTACACTAGCTTTCTGTGTTTTGTGCACAAGGACCCCCCAAGTCCTTTTGTGTTGCAGCGTTCTGCAGTTTTTCTCCATTTTGATAATCTATTATTCTGTTCCGCCTTCCAAAATGAACTTCTTCACATTTTCCCACATTATACTCCACATTACTTAACTTATCAGTATCTCTCTGTAGACTATAAGATAAGACAGTGTGGAGCTGGAGGAACACAGCAGTCCAGGCGGCATCAGAGGAGCAGGAAAGCTGACGTTTCGGGTCAGGACCCTTCTTCAGAAATGGGGAGGGGAAAGGGGGCTCTGAAATAAATAGTGGGGGGTGGGTGAGCGTGGTGATAGGAAGTAGATAGCAGAGCAGATAGGTGGGAGAGAAGACGGACAGGTCAATGAAACGGGGATAAGGGTGGGGGCTGGTCTTGGGATGAGGTCGAGGGTGAGGAGATTTTGAAACTAGTAAAGTCCACATTGAGACCATTGGGTTGTAGGTTTCCAAGGCGGAATATGAGCTGCTGTTCCTTCAGTTTCCAAGCGGCATCGTTGTGACACTGGAGGAGGCCCAGGATAGACACGTCATTCAGGGAGCAGGAGGGGGAATTGAAGTGGTTTGTGACTGGGAGGTGTTGTCGTTTGTCGTGAACCGAGCATAGGTGCTCCACAAAGCAGTCTCCGAGCCTCCGCTTGGCCTCTCCAATGTAGAGGAGGCCACATCGGGAACAGCGGATACAATAGACCACATTAGTGGATGCGCAGATGAACATCTGTTTGTTGTGGAAGATTTTTTTGGGGCCTGGGGTGGAAGTGAGGGGGGAGGTGGAGGGGCAGGTGTAGCACCACCTGCGGTTGCAGGTAATGGTGCTGGGGGTGGTGGGGCTAGTGGGAAGTGTGGAGCTGATGAGGGAGTTGAGCAGAGAGCAATCCCTCCGGAAGGCAGATAAGGGTGGGGAGGGAAATATATCCTTTCACAGTCACCCTTATCCGCTTAACTGAACTCATCCTTAGCCTTAACAACTTCTCCTTCAACTCCTCCCACATCCTACAGACTAAGGGGGTGGCCAAGGGTACCTGCATGGTCCCAGGCTATGCCTGCCTCCTGGTAAGATGCGTGGAACAGTCCCTTTTCCGCAGCTACACTGGCACTATTCCCCACCTCTTCCTCCGCTACATCGATGACTGTATCAGCGTCACCTCGTGCTCCCATGAGGAGCTCGAACAGTTCATCCACTTTACTAACACCTTCCACCCAACCTTAAGTTCACCTGGACCATCTCTGATACCTCTCTGTCCTTCC